TGATGCACATTTGAATGAAGGATACACATCAGTAAAACATACACTTAGTTTATAGAGGTATGACCATCGATGAGAACACTGGAAACTTTGCCTTGCTTTGTTAATTAACTGTTACCACACAAGGCAATAGTAGTTGTAGGAGTTGGTGGAGGTTTAAAGTACTTCCCATAACCTCTAAAGCAGTGGTTCTCAACCTTCTGGCGCTTTAAATACAGTTGCTCATGTTGTGACCCAACCATAAAATTATTTTCGTTGCTACTTCATAACTGTAATGTTGCTACTGTTATGAATCGTAATGTAAATATCTAATATGCAGGATGGTCTTAGGCGACCCCTGTGAAAGGGTCATTCGACCGCCAAAGGGGTCGCGACCCACAGGTTGAGAACCGCTGCTCTAAAGGTTAGTCAGTGGAACTTCCAACTCTTGTAATCTAGGAAGAAAACACCCCAGCTCACTCCACCCTAAAACAAAAACCCATGATGATGGGTTCCATTATGAACAGATTCCTACCAATTTCACCTTCTGAACCCATTGCCCCGAGGGGCCGCCTTACTCTCCAGGGTCTTTGGTTTTCCTCATTGACAAGAAAAAATTGATGGGTTCTTTTCTTGGGTTCAGAACTTTGGAAGGTCCCAGCACTTCCTTTTACCACTGGATGTCAGATGAGACTGGGAAATCTTTGCTTTTATTTTACTTGGTTGTTGTGCTTTTATTTCCTTTGCTCAAGGATCCCAGAAAGTATCAGGAACCCATCTAGACTTCTTAAAATATGTTGAGGTAGATTTAAGAGCAACCCCATGAAGCAAGTCTTTTGGCTCTACCCAGCAGGAGGAGCACATTTCTGAAAAGAGCTTTAGGGAATTGAGTTGGTAGAGGCTGTGTGGCTCTCAGATTTTTTTATTTCAGGACCCAATAAACAACATTTATTGTAGTATAGTAGTAGACAAAATCTACTATTAGCATAATTTCAAAGCAAAATATATTTTAAAGTCACACTCCACAAACAACCTTAGAATAAAGAACAATCCTTTCCATTCTATCGATTTAGCTTCATGAAAATATGTCCTATTCTCATCTTGCTACAGAAGAGCAAATACTCCATTATATTCAGCTCTGTTCTAACTCACTGAGCATTCCTGGAGGCTAGTATTTACATAACCTTAATAACCTGTAGATAAACTTCACATTTATTTTTAAAATAAACTGTCTTTTAGAATAGCTTTAAATTTACAGAAAAATTGCATAGTTCAGAGCTCTATATACCCCATAACCAGTTGCTCCTGTCAACATCTTACATTAGTGTGGCACCTTTATCACAAATAATAAACCAATACTTTGTTAAGATTTCCTTAGTTTTTACCTAAGGTCCCTTTTCTCTTTCTGGATCACACTAGGAACACATTACGAATCATTATGTCTCCTTAGTCTCCTCCAGGCTATTTCTCAGAATTGCCTCTCCCCTTTTTTTATATTCCTAAACGTTCTGAGAAGTCATACCAGGTATTTTATGAGATGTCTCTCAACTGCTATTTTCTGACGTTTCCCTCATGATTCGGCTGATGCTAAAGGTTTGGGCAGAGAACCAAAGGGAAAGTGGCATTCTCATCATATCCTAACATTAACATAACTTACTGCTGAGGTTAATGTTGATCACTTGGCTGAGGTGATGTTTGTCAGGTTTCTCCACTGTAAGCTTAGCTATTTTCCCCGTTCCAAACTGTACTCTTTCCAGTCTGGGGCTATTATGAATAAAGCTGCTATAAACTTAACAGTTTAAGTCTTTTTGAGAATGCATTTTTTAAAAAAATATATTTTATTAATTTTTTTACAGAGAGGAAAGGAGAGGGATAGGGAGTTAGAAACATCGATGAGAGAGAAACATCAATCAGCTGCCTCCTGCACAACCTCCACTGGGGATGTGCCCGCAACCAAGATACATGCCCTTGACCGGAATTGAATCTGGGACCCTTCAGTCCGCAGGCCGACGCTCTATCCACTGAACCAAACCGGTTAGGGCTGAGAATGCATTTTTATTTCATTTGAATAAACATGTGTTCATGGCTAAGTGTATTTTTAGTTTTATAAGAAACTACTGGAACTTTTTATAAAGTGATTTTATCATTTCCAATGTGGCTGTACCACAAAATGGAACTCACCAACTTTGAGAGTTCTAGTTGCCTTGTCAACATTGTGGTGTCTGAGTTTTTACTTTTAGCCATTCTGGTGGGTATATAGTGGTATTTCACTGTGGTCTTAATTAACATTTCCCTGATAAATGATGTTCAGTGACACATCTTTTAAAGTAATAAGTGAATGGAAGCCTGCCTCTGAGTAGACCAGTGGTTCTCAACCTTCCTAATGCCACGGCCCTTTAATACAGTTCCTCATGTTGTGGTGACTCCCAATTTCATTGTTACAAATTGAACATAATTAAAGCATAGTGATTAACCACAAAAACAATATGTAATTATATATGTGTTTTCTGATGGTCTTAGGCGGCCTCTGTGAAAGGGTCACGACCCACAGGTTGAGAACTGCTGGAATAGACTCTTGGTGAGGAATGAAAGACTCTAGTAAGAAATTAAAACCCAAAGCTGGGGCCTTCCACTTCCAGTGAAGGGGAAGTTAATAGGGACCAAATGTACTCTTCCATCTTATAGGACTAAAATACTGAACAAAATACGTGAAACAAGTTTTCAGATATTGAACAGGAAGCACAGAACAGTGGCCCCTGAAAGAAGGAAAATTATGTGGTGACCTACTGATTGCCCTCTTACAGATTGGAATATATACAAGCCATAGAACAGAGAACTTAAACTGAGCCCAGTGGCCTCCCTGAATGCAGAATCCAGTGAAAAGAGAGGAGTACAGTGGGGCCTTGACTTACGAGTTTAATTCGTTCCAAGACCGAGCTCGTTAAGGAGCTCTTTAAAAAGTCAAATTACTCTATCAACTCAAGGCAAAAAAATCGGCTGAGAGACAGCTGGTATCTCAAAAAACTCATTAGTCGGGACACTCGAAAGTCAAGGCCCCACTGTATCAGAAAGAAGAGACGCAGAGAGAGCGCTCTAGATATTGGCAGAATTCTATCATTAGATGCATCAGAAAAGATTACCCAATGTTGGGGAAAGAACCACCACAAAGGAATAGGTAGAATAACCCTTGGAAATCAAACAACGGTGGGGAGGTACCAGCCAAAATGAGAAAACTTATCAATACGTGGGGCATTGGTGGAGTGAGTACTCAGAAAGGTATTTCTTCAGTAGAGGGTAAAAACTAACACTCAATTAAAGGCTGCTCTTATCTTCAAAGCAAGCCTCAAACAATAAAACTGTCTCCTAGGCTTCCCAGTCACTTAACTGTATTATGAGGCTCAGGAATATTTAAAGAAATACAAAGATCCAGTACCCAACAAGCCAAACTTCAGTGCCCAGCATACAAAAACTTTTCAGGAATGTAAAACAGCAGGAAAATATGACTAATAAACAGAAGAAAAATCAGTCAATAGACACAGTTTCAAAATGACACAGAAGATAATTAGAAGACAAAAACAATGTATCAGCTATTATAAGTGTATTTTGTATGTTTAAGAAAGTAAAATATAAACGTGTTAAGGAGAGACATGGAGAGAATGTAAAAGACTCAAATTGAACTACTAGAGATTAAAAATATAACAAGTATTCAGATATTGAGCAGGAAGCATAGTATACTGAGATGAAAGTATACTAGATAAACTGAGTACCAGATTAGACATTCTAAAAATAAATTAGTGAACTTCAAGACATAGCATAAAAACTATCCAAAATGAAACAGAAAAAAAAAAATTGGGGAAAAAATGAATACTGTTAATGAGTTTTGGGAAAAGTTCCATTTAATAACATACAGAAGTATTTTATTGAAATTGCTTTACAAGTCAACAAATACAGCTGAATAACTACAAACATGGTACTTCCAAATTTGTAACTGGAATGACAAGACCAGAAAGCACTCTTCTACTTAAAATGCTAAACCTGAAATCTACTACTTCTGTTAAGAACCTTTATATTCTCAAGCATCCTCTGTAATAAAGAGCTAATATGCTAATTAGAACAGACGGTGGAACAACCAGTGGGCAGGGGAGCGGGGCCACAAGGCAGCTGGGGTGATCAATGTGTGTGTGGGGGGCGCTCCACGATAGATCACCCCACAGAGGGTGGCAGCAGCCGGCGCTGTGAAGGCCTGTGCTTGCACAAATTTCGTGTACTGGGCTGCTAGTAATCAATACTTTAAAGAGGCAAATATATATGTATATATACATACATGTGTGTGTGTCTGTGTGTGTATATATATATATTTATTAGAGGCTCGGTGCATGAAATTCGTGCACTGGGGGGGGGGGGGGGTCCTTCAGCCCAGCCTGCACTCCAATCTGGGACCCCTCAGGGGATGTCCAACTGCCAGTTTAGGCCCGATCCAGGACTGCTGGCTCCCAACCGCTCGCTTGCCTACCAGCCTAATCACCCCCTAACCACTCCCCTGCTAGCCTGATTGATGCCTAACTGCTCCCCTGCCAGCCCGATCGCCCCCAACTGCCCTCTCCTGCAGGCCTGGTCACCCCCAACTGCTGGCCTGATTGCCCACAACTGCCCTCCCCTGCTGGACATCTTTGAGGGCTTGACAGTCAATTAGCATATTCCCTCCTTATTGGCTGTGGGCGCTGCCATCTTTGCAACAGTGTGGGGGGTCAATTAGCATATTCCCTCTATTAGATAGTATATATATATATATATATATATATAAAATCAAATTTAATGTATGATCATGTAAATTGAAAGCTTTTTATGCTTAATACAGTTAGTGTTATTTAACATTTTATGTAACCATCCAGCACCCTTTTCTTTCAACACATACTTCTGCAGAAAGAACTGTCAAAAAATTAGTGTAAAATCCAATGATGCTTTACAACTGCATTTCTACTTCTTTCCTCAGGATAAAAAATTAGTCTTTAAAGCAACCTGAGATAAAAACACAGTGTCTTAAGAACCTCAATGAACTTGTACAAAAAAGAAAACTGTAACAAGGATCATGTATTAAAACTGCTACAGGTTGAGCATCTTTTATGGTGCTTTTTTAGTCAACTGTGAGTGTCTGTTTAAATTTTTTCCTCATTCTTTAATCTTTTTTGGGAGTTCTTTATATATCCAGAACAAGTCTTTTGTCTCATGTTCTGCAAATATTTTATCTCAAGCTACGATATCTTATTTGCTTAACAGGGTTTTTTTTTTTTAATATATTTTATTGATTTTTTTTACAGAGAGGAAGGGAGAGAGATAGAAAGTGAGAAACATCGATGAGAGAGAAACATCGATCAGCTGCCTCCTGCACATCTCCCACTGAAGATGTGCCCGCAACCCAGGTACATGCCCCTGACCGGAATTGAACCTGGGACCCTTCAGTCCGCAGGCCAATGCTCTATCCACTGAGCCAAACCGGTTTCGGCAGGGTTTGTTTTTTTTGATGAGGAGAAGTTAATTCTCACCTGAGAATATTTTTTCCATTGATTTTTAGAGAGAGTGGAAGGGAGGGAGAGGAAATGAAGGAGGGATGGAGAGGAGAGAGGTGGAGAGAGAAACATCAATGTGAGAGAGATATGACATATTGATTGGTTGCCTCCAGCAAGCATCCTGGCACCGTGACCGGGATCAGGAATCAAGCCTGCAACCGAGATACTAGGTATGTGCCCCTGACGTGAACAAATCAGACCATTCAGTCCAAGGTTTGATGCTCTAACCACTGAGCAAAACCTGCCACAGTGATGAGTTTTTATTTTTATGAAATATTTTATTATTAAAATAAGTTTTATTGTCATTGCTTGTATCCTAAGAAACCTTTGTCAATCCCTAGAATTACCCAATATTCTCTTATGACTTGTTCTAAAAACCTTATGGATTTAGCTTTTGCAATGAGGTATATGCTCCCCTTTGAATTAATTTTTGTGTATAGTATGATGTAGGGATTGCTGGGGCAGGGGGGATTGAAGGGCTGGGGGGTTGGAGGGAATGAGCAAAAAAACAACAAAAAAGAGCCAACTCATGGATACGACAACAGAGTGATGACTGCCAGAGTGAGGGGGGTGGGGGAGGGTGGAAGAGGGTCAGGGGGAATAAGTGGTGATGCAGAGAGACTTGACTTGGGGTGGTTAACACATAGTAAGTGTACGGATGATCTGTGGTGAAACTGTGCACCAGAAACCTATACAATTTTGTTAACCAGTGTCTCCTCAATAAAGTCAATAAAAAGAAAAATAGTTTGTGGGGATTCCTTGATATAATATATACCAGTTGATAGCAACAATAAATGTCCAGTAAAAAAAAAAAAAAGATGTAGATAACGTATTATTCCAGTGCCAACTGTTGAAATGACTCCGCTTTCCTTATTGTTGCAATGTTGCTTTTTAAATTTTATTACTAAATTAAAAAAATGTTTAATGATTAAAAATTTTCAATAAAATTTTTCTATAATCCAGTTTTTTTTTTAGATGTTGATATTTGGTTTCAACACACTATTCAGTTAACAGAAGTGATATAAGCCACTTATCCAAAACAGGTATGTGGACTACCTACTATAATAATAAACATTTAAATATGTCAAAAAATTATATTGCATGCTGAGAAACTGTTAAAAAATAGAAATGAAAGAATATGTAAATATATACATGAACACAAAGTAATTCCTATCTTATCATTGTTACTTATTTGAAATATAACATCGTTTCATTTGTTTACTCTTTTAGAATTTTCTATGCATAAGTATAAATTGTTTTATTGTAGAATCACATAAAGAAAAATGCATTCCAAATAAACAAAACAGATGTTAAAGCTATCTTTTGTAGAGCACTATCTAAATACATATCACTTGTTGTTAATACTTCAACAATGGATACTTAATATACTCAAACTGTGCCATACATTTAAAATGTTATCATAATTTGTTCTCAACCATGTTATCCTTTGTGTAATTACCTTTGTGTAACAGATTACTGACAGATTAAAGAGCAGTGAGTGAAATTTTTCTGCCAAGTGGACACATCATATCAACTCTTTTGAAACCCTATGAGTCTTTAAAGGTTCTACTGAAATAAAATAAAATGTAAACATGTCCAAATTAATTTAAAATGCACTTGACAGAGAAAATATAAAAGTGGGCTTGTGAGATAATATTTGTTGTATAGTTTACTATTTACTAGCAAAAAAAAAGCATTTAATTCAATGGCTATAATCCTTCCTTTACAATAAACCAACTGAATAGGGAAATATATATTATTGTCCATATTTTTAATATATATATATTGTAATATATATATATATATATATATATATTTTTTTTTTTTTTTTTGATGAGCAGAAGTTAATCCTCACCTGAGAATATTTTTTCCATTGATTTTTAGAGAGTGGAAGGGAGGGAGAGGAAATGAAGGAGGGATGAATAATATATATATATTGTTGATTTCATAGATGAAGGGAGAGGGAGAGAGAGATAGAAACATCAATGATGAGAATCAGTGATTGGCTGCCTCCTGCACACCTCCTCCTCCTGGGGATCGAGCCCACAACTTGGGCATATGCCATTGACCAGAATTGAACCTGGGACCTTTCAGTCCGCAGGCTGACGCTCTATCCATTAAGCCAAACCGGTTAGGGCAGGGCTGTCCATATTTTTAAAAATCCCTTTAGTGACCTCACAACTAGCAATCAGGATGTTTTATTGATCAAGAACTATCCTATATAATAAGAGGCTAATATGCAAATTGATCACACTGCAGAACGACTGGTCCCTATGATGCACACTGACCACCAGGGGGCAGACGCTCAACACAGGAGCTGCCCCCTGGTGGTCAGTGCGCTCCCACAGGGGGAGTGCCACTCAACCAGAAGCTGGGCTCATGGACTGGCGAGTGCAGTGGCAGTGGTGGGAGCCTCTCCCGCCTCCGTGTCAGTCAGACATCCCCCGAGGGCTCCTGGACTGTGAGAGGGCGCAGGCTGGGCCGAGGGAATTTCGTGCACCAGGCCTCTAATAGTGATATAAGAGAAGAACAGTATGATGACCCTCATTTCCTTCAGAAATCACCTTCTGAGTGAGGTGTTCCTTCAGTGCTCTATTTAAAATTTTAACTTTATCCCTGCCATGCAACTTTATATTCCCTCTTCCCTCATTTCCACCACCTTCCACTCATGAGATCTTACCACTATCTAACATCCTATATTTGACTCATATTTATTTTTGTTTATTATCTGCATTCCCCCACTAGATTTTTGGCTCTTGGAGGGCAGGGATTTTGATATTTTGTTCATAGTTGTATCGAGGGCAGTCTTTGGAACAGTATAGGCACTTAAGTATTTATTGAACAAATAAAATGAGTACAAACTAAAATATTCCTAGAGAAAATTCTGTTTGTGAAGTCTTTTCCCGATTAAAAATAAATGAATGTCTTCTAACATAATCTATAACCATTCCTGAAGCCAAAAGTAGCTACTCTATTTTTCTCATGCCAACATAAAGAGAAACCAACTTAGAAATATCTAGCCTCACTTTTAATGTAAACTCTTTTTTTTATCTAACATGGTAAAACTGAGGCAATAGTGATAGTTCAGTTCTATTTAATTAGCATGGGTTGAATACTTAATAAGTGAAAAAAAAGTATCTAATGGGATGAGATGTTTCTTGAATCTTAACATTCTATCTACAAAATTACGCTATTTTAGAAAATCAAGCATTTTGCCAAATGGGAGAAAGGAGAGGAATAAGCATGTAGAAGGAAAAACAAACAAACAAAACAAATGGAATAGAAAAATACCAATTCTTTGACCCATTAAAGAAAGGCCCATTCAACATGAACAGTTTGTAGCTAAAAGGAGTCCCTTAGTTAAGAGAAAACAAGCATATGCACAAGCTATACCTGTTTTTTCTTATAAAGAAAACAAAAAATACGTAAAAATGTTTACCACTTTAAAGAAGAGAAAGATTGACATTAGCCTTTTGACCATCCTTAGTGTCCATGTCAGGGTATTCATGGCATATAATCAGCTCAGTTATAAACCCAAAGTATAGACATGAGCTGCATGGGAGTTAAAACATGAGACTGTGTGACTACTTGAGACATTGGGTTCAAACTCTAAGATCTAAGTGTGTTTAAGTCTGATTCTTTAAGCCACTTAAAGCTCTGTGAAGACACAAGATGATCCACATTGAAAAAATCACTTGGTTTTATTTTGCTGAATAGAGCCATAGACCATGATAGAGCATTTTCAATTATGAGATGGCTAAGAAAGTATGTATGAATTCAGAGAATGTTGAGACCCTATACTTTGTAGTACTGAGAATTTAATCTTTCATTAGAAAGAATAAAATCTAACCAGTGAATTTCCAATTATAGATTTCATAATAAATTCTAGTTATTGCTTCCTGGACCTATCAATTCCATTAATAGATGAATATCTTTTCTGAATCATAACTCAAAAAGAAATGTCAGTATTGTATCAATGATATTTATATCAGAAATAATAAGACAATGAACCCATTCTACTTGGATGCACTGGTCATTTATACACAATTGGAATTCTGGGGAAAATATCAAAGATAATCAATATGTATATAGATATTAGGATAAAATTATATGCTTTTCATTTCAGACAAGGGTAGGAGGGAGAATAAAGCTCTGATTTTTAAAGTGCAATGGGCAGGGACGGGAGGAGAAATGAACAAATATCAAATAAAATTCCACAAATCATACAAAATTAGATTATCAGGATTTCCCAGTTAATTAGGAAAAATATATAATAAAAATAACTCTCCACTGAAGCATAGTATATTGATTAGAGTCTGACATAAAAAAATAAAATAATTCTACTAAATTATAATTTAGGCTATTAAAATATTTAGAATCATTTTGCAATACATACAATAAATCAAATAATTATATTGTATACCTAAAACAAATACAATGTTATATGTCAATTATATATCAATTAAAAAATATTATTTGGTCTACATAAAGTACAAACCCTTTTACACTTAAAGAATATAATTCTTAGCACAAAGACAACATGCATAAATAAACCAGTTAGTAGTTACAACCATCATCTCTTTTGCTTTGAAAGGTTAAAAAAACTAAACCAAATCAATTAATGTTCAGCTTGTGTAAAATCACTGTACTTAGGAAAATTCAAATTTAAAAAGAGTAAATCAATAGTATTTTTAGAAATACATGTTATTCTACCCAACAATGAATTCTCTGCCTCCTCCACCCCATAAATCCATTGTACAATCTTTGAAACTCAAAATAATTATTTAAAAAAATTTTAAAAACTGATTTGAGAGAGAGAGGGAAAGGAAGAAGGAAAGAACAACATTGATGTGAAGGAGAAAATCCATTGGCTGCCTCCTGCATGCTCCCTACTGGGGATCGAGCCCAAAACCTGGGCATGTGCCCTGACCAGGAAATGATCCGGTTCCCTTTTGGTGCACAGGATGATGCTCAACCAACTGAGCCACACAACCAGGCCTAAAATGTAGTTCTTTAATTAAATGGTCATATCAGGTGAGATTCTTTTCAAGTTCAATACGGGAAATCTTTTACATACAAAATAAGTGTTATACTTTGCTGTAATCAATTTTAGTGATGCTAATGTATCTCAAAATATATATGGGATGCCTCTTTGGAAATACACATGAAGTATTATTAGGCTATGAAGTGGTTGGCAAACTCATTAGTCAACAGAGCCAAATATCAACAGTACAACAATTGAAATTTCTTTTGAGAGCCTAATTTTTTAAACTTAAAACTATATAGATAGGTACATTGTTATTAACTTAATTAGGGTACTCCTAAGGCTTAGGAAGAGCCACACTGAAGGGGCCAAAGAGCCACATGTGGCTCGTGAGCCGCAGTTTGCCAACCACAGGGCTATAGCCACACTTCATTTTCAACCAAAGAGTTTTGTCCAACTTAAGCACTATTATTCAGTCTTTTAAAATATCAACTATTTGCAAAACATTTAATCTAAACCAAAATGCAGGAATTTGCTGTACTGAGATTATTTAATCAAAGTGAATCACAAGCCTTGAAAGTAATTCCAAAAGAAGTTTCAAAATTGCTTTCAATAGTAACAACAGCATTGAAACACAATATACAGCCTCTAAAGACAGTTACATGAAAGAGTATTTATTTATAATTCTACTATTTGTTAGAAAAAACAAACCTGTTTATTTTATATTCATTTCCTTTATAACTGTAACCCTTCATTTGGGTTTTAAATGTAAAAAGCATGAAAAAGAATTTTACTTTTATTTTTTCATTTTGTTTACATTTTTCAATTAAATCACCTCAATTAATTGAACTATAAAATAGAAATTTAACATTTCTAATTCTGGACACCACAAATGTAAAACAAGTCCTATTTAACATGGATTTAAATGATATCTATAGATTTATTTAGAGTGGAAAGGATTTTGATTTTTTGAAAATGACAGAAAACAATTTTCATTTGGGAGAAATCAACTAAGTATAAAATATGACTATTCTCACACAGGCAACACAAATAAATTGC